AACGATTAGAATATAAAAACAAAAAAATTGTAAGTAAAAACATTACAGGATATGATAAAAAGTACAGTGTTATTATTATTATTATTATTATTATTTATTATTTTGTAATTAAGATTGAAAAGGTGGAAATAGGCCTATTCAGTTATTATTATTATGTAATTATTATTATAATTAATGATAACAGTGACGATATTATTATTATTTTCATTCATTATCATTGTCATTATTATTATTAAAACTGGAGTCAATATTTGAGAGATTGGGGGATTTCACAAGTCATGAATAAGATAATTAAGTACCTGGTTTGGAAAGGAATTGCATTGTCGTGGTACAGCTTAGCCCGCCAGCGATTCGAGTTCGATACGAAGAACAAGAGCAGACACTTCGCAATGTCGTGACGCTCGAGTTTTACTTTTATTGCTCTTTCTATGTTTACCTACGGTAGGCCTATGAAATCTTACGGATTTATGGGATGTACGTGTGTAACTAACTGTGTCCTTCTTGTATGTTATTAAATGTTAGTATAATATCTACAACAACAACAGCTAGTATCCCCCCTTTATAAAGTGTAGATAGGTACACCAAAGGCTGACAGAACGAATTCAGATAAACTACAGGCCTAAAAGCAGGCTGAGTTAAGTCCTACTCTACCATAGGCCCTCCCTAAACTAGGCCTATGTCCTTAGGCTAGGGTGCTAGGCTGACACCAACAGTCACGCTTCACATGACGTTGATTGAAATTTTGAAAAAAGGGGGAAAATTGAAGCATGAAATAAAAAATAGAGTGCAAAGAGAAATATTATTAAATAGTAATAAATAAAATATACCATTCCGGCGTTATTGAACTTGGCCAAACTATCCTTGTAATGTAATTAATGTTAAATAATAATAATAATAATAATAATAATAATAATAATAATAATAATAATAATAATAATAGTAATAATAATTTCAGCAATATTACCTTGGCCTAAGCCTTGTAATCAAGAACCTATTTACTAGGTCTATAATTAATAAATAGCCTAAGGGAATATCTTTTGTGCTATTTCTCCTTAACGTCGTTTTTTTTTTTAAATGTTCTCTAACTTCTCCATTGTCTATGTTCCTAAGGTAGGTTTTAGTAACATAATAATGAATAATAATGAATAATAATAATAATAAATAATAATCAATTCTTGTAATCAAGAACCTGCAGATACTATTTACCATATAACTAGGCTTAGGCCTCATTTATACATTCATTGGTGCTCTGCTATTTGGCAGGTCTTTGGCATCCAGTATTTTAGAGCTGCCTATTCTCAGCTCTTCTGTTAATTTGAAAATAACTGTCACCCTGTTTCATTTGATACAGAAACGCACTATTCCTTCCTATTTGTGCTTTCCCCTGAAAGCGTATATTTCTAGTAGTTAGTAGGCCTAGGTAAATATGCAAAACCCAGATATAACTAAAAAAATAAATAAATAAAATTGTCACAGTATGTAACCTAAGTTCAAATAACACTTTCCATTACTCGTGCATCAAATATTATATGTCATTTTAAACGACCCATTAGTATTAGCATGGTAACATCAATGTATTTTTTTTAAATCAGACAGCGACGTTCTCTCAGAAGTTGTTTTGCATTTTGTAGTCGTTTATCTGTTGATGACCTTTTGACCTCCTGAATTCTTCAATATGAGATTTTCGGCCCGATCGACAAATTAAGCTACACAATTAAATAAATATTATATCGAAACAAATAATTGTTTGCTGATTTATGGCCATTTTAAAAATAAAACGAACATTTTTAAATTGCCCATTAAAAAAAATATAGAAATTGTATTATCTAGTTAAGTGTCGAAATATTTTGTCGATGACACATTAAATTATTTAATTTACTGTCTTAAGGTAGGCCTTAATTTTATGCACAGTAGCGTGAAAGATCAACAGATGTTTATTATTGGTTTCATCATAACATCTATCCTTTCGTATTTCACTGACCATATTCGTTGGAATATCTACTGCACAGGTCAATATTTATTGTGTCGACTTATGTAGTACAGTAGGCCTGATTCAAATGAAAGCTGGTCCGATATGTCCTCCATGGGGCTCATTCCATTGTGTTGGATGGAGTAGCAAAACAGGAAAACAAGATTTTTCAAAAATTTAAAATGCTTATTAATAAAGTAGAGATTCTGATACATTATTAAGATATGTCGCATGTGTCGTGCGTACACGTACCGGATTTACGCACATGACTGTTTCACTGTCAGTTTCTAATATACAGTACAATAGTCAAATAATTTATGCCGTAATAACATTGATTACAATATTACAACCCGACTAGACCTATTGGGTGAAGTATGGTAAGTCATATATTTTAGCTCAAATAAGTGGAAGTTAATCGTTTTCCCAATAATATTGTTTGGTCATTATTATTAATTAGTTCAAGGTCGAACATGGACACAGAGTAGGCTAGTGTCCTGTAGGGCTGTCCCCAGAATATGGAAAACAGTTACAGGAGATACAGTTAATCAACGTGAATAAAAGTTCCAGTTAACTTGAAAATGAAGACATAGACTAGGCCTATAATTCATTGCAATTTGCAAATATGCATTTGTGATAATAAATCAACATAAATGTAATAACATCCAGGATTCAAATGCTATTGAGATTCAGATACTATGGCTAAACACCTTTGCCGCCATCCTGGGTTCGTAATTTCCCTTCTGGTTGCTTATGGGGTGCCATACGCAGCAAAAGTCCATGTTAAAATCAAAATGTAATTGCAAAATTCAATGTATAATTTATTTATAATTTATTTTTACGTTTTGAAAAATTAGAACTTCATTTTGGGAAACTAGATCTACATTTTGAGAAATTTACGCCTACGTTTTGATAAATTCGACATTGAATTTTGCAATTACATTTTGATTTTAACATGGAATTTTGCTGCGTATGGCACCACATAGTTGCTCATTATGATCTTTTATGGAGCTGATGAGCTATCAACTCAGATACAGCGCCCTCATTATCAAAGTAAGACGTAGCTCATACCCTCAACGTTACTTTCCAGTATTTTAATAAAGGTAAAGGAGCTTGCAGCGTCATTGTGCTGAATTGCGTATGGGCGTGGTCCGTGACTACCTAGCTGCCGTAAAGAGGCGCTTTTTGGTAGATACATGTTCACATCATTCCACATCGACAGGGGCTCAAATGAACCATAACATCGGGGTGACCCCCTACTCTTCCGAAAGATGCAATGGGTTCTTTAAAGCACACGAGCCAGATGTATACACTGGACCTCCATTTTAAGTCCTAATCCGAGAAGACTTGGTTCTACGTAACCATGGGCGAGGAGCGGCTGGAACTAGCCGATGTTAAGGCTGTAGCTAGCGGCGCCCCTGTCTTACCGCTCGGCCACTCGACTCGCCTTTTAATGACCTTTTATCGTTACAACCATACTCCGTGCCGAAGAAAAAGGGGAACCCCCGGAGAGGGGAGTAGTTACTCGTACAGAATCACACAGTTGCTTAACTTGTTTAGATTTGGTGTGATAATTCACGTCGTAGGTGTTAGTATTATTTGCTTGTGTAGAATAGAACCGCTAGGATAAATCGAAATTGTATTAAATCTGGTGAAAAGAATGAGTGGTCTCCATTAAAACCTTATTGTGCCGCTGTATTATCTCTTCAGTTCTATTCTTCGGCTTAACTTAACGCTTTATTTTGTACCGCTATTAGGCCTGTGTTGTATAAACCCCTGACTTATTGTGCAAACTCAGACAAGAGTTTGTTTTTCTTTTTCAACCGAAGTGTCGTTCGAGATTATTATCTTATTGGGTGGCGAATCTATGTTAAACAGACTGAATGACTTGTTAAACAAACCCTATGGCACATATACAACAATTCCGACTACTTACTATAAGTACCTCTTTTCACACACAATGAATCGTACAATACAATTGTTGAAAATACAGCCAAAGCAAACTTGTGAATGAATATCATTTTGGCTAAGTACTATTTACTTTAACGTGATTTCAGGACTAAGCTACTACATTCCTTTTCTGCCGGGATGCCTTCTTCTTTCAAAGTGAGTTTCCCCCGTGGATGGTTGTATTTACAAATTGGTGATTTAAGTGGAGGGTTAATTAACAGGTTACAATTTTGGTAAATAACACGTGTGCTGATTTCGGGGACCACCTTTAGACATGATCCCCATTTAGAAGATTTCAGTTTCACTCGATTACCCTTTTATACCACTTAGGGACCAGTCTTAGCTGCCGTGGTCTCTTTAGAAGTTTTTGAAATGGAGACCCACCCCAAGACCACCCCACATTTAGGTCCCAACAACGGTAGTCTCGAATTGGCACATAGCCACAATATTGGAGGGTAAACCTTTCTATTCTTTCGATTACAAGAGCTGCCGCAGTCAGTCGATGTCCAGATCATCAGTGTTTGAATTAGAAACTATAAATAGGCCTACGTGACATGAAGCTACAACAGTGTCTGAACATGGTCTGAATAGCATCACCTTGTCAACATTACATAATAGTAGGTAAAAGAGTAAGGCGCCAGAATGCCCATTTTGCAGGGTCACAGTCATTGCGCCCAATTTCATAATGACGTGGTCCATGGCTACTGTAACAGCGATTGAAATGAAATTAAATTGACATTGAATGTCTGATCGGGGTAGTTCTCCTCACTCTTAACAAAGAAGTTACAATGAGTCATTAAAGCACGATCCTAGTGTGTGCAACACTTTGAGAAAATCTGCTTCTACCAACCACTGATGGTGGTCTAGAACCTGAGTGCCGATGGAAAAGCCATAGTTAGGGTCTGTAGTAAAGCGTTAGCGGTTGTCCCTGCCTTTAATCGCTCGGCCACTCGACTCGCCCGAAACAAGACGAAACAGTCCGTCATTCCAAACTCAGCGAACCGTAGCGAAATTACCATTAGCGCATGCGCACTGTAGGTATACAAGTTGGTATAAATTGCTCACACCGGCCAGTTCAGGTAAAGTTGCTACTGTGTTACTGTCATTGTTGTTCGACACGCTGTCTGAATGATAAATCGGGCGTAGGGAAATAAACAGATTTTCGAATCTACAAGCCGACTGTTTTATATGTTTTAGCTAGAGTGGACTTAACCCAAGGGATATATTTTAGATATTGGATTGTTTGACCAATTGGAGAGTCATGTCGAATCCATACAAGAAGAATGGGACAACATTCAAGGTAAAAAAATCAACAGTTAAAAACTTGGTTATTCAATTCGTGGACCTATATTTTATTGGTCCATGTAATAATATGTGTTATGAGGCAACGAACCATCGTTTTTATTGTTTTAATCTATGAATTTAGTTAAATTTGTATTTGTAATTTGTATTTGTAATCCTCAATAAAAACTCAATATTACAATAACAAATTAGCATGTTTCAATTTTTAGCATCATTGATATCCGGTTTTTTTTTTCAGATAATTTTGCCGGTGGCGGATTCAAGTTGGTTCCCCTCCCCCCACCCCTTCCTAATTTTTTTAAAAATAAAGCAATTGAAAAAAAAGAAAATCATAAAAGTCTGAGAGTTTCATTTCCGGCCATCTAGAATTGCCATAATCATAAGATTTCTTACATAACCCTTAACTATGGTGGGGCTGACGTGGGTGGATCATCTACCTGTGAAAATTGCTCTGCCTGGGCTCGACCCCCCCCCCCTCTATTAGTATTACGAATTTCCCGTGGATCCGCCACTGATACTAAAGTTGTTTTATATGTGTAGGCCCTATATTAATGTGTAAAATGATATACAAAGGAAGTGGCCGTAAGGAACACATTTCCATATTTTGCGGCATATAATACCGTATAGGCCTTATTTGAATTTCCCTAGAAAGCATTTTAGGACGGTTTTTACTGTAAGGCGCTGTATATAAAAGTATGTGACCATTTATTGACCATTGACTATCCACTAATTGTGAATGTAACAGGGAAGCTGGGCTAGCAGTTTCCTCCTATAGCATTTGGTTTGAATGATGTTTGGACGATATATTCTATATTTAGGATGAATTGTAACTCCTCGACTTCATGATTATAGTTACTATGGTAACAAGAATGTCATATTTGTTATGATTCAATGTTGATGTTGAGTTCGGTAGCCGAGAGGTTAAGACATTGGGCCGCACATATTCAACCATATTGGCGCTCGCCTATCTGTCTGGTGGGCGGAACAAGTCTTCTCGGATAAGAAATAAAACCGTAGGCCCAGTGTGCAGTACCTACACATTTTGAGTCATTGCACTTTATAGAACTCAGGAGTAGAGATGAGTGGGGTAAACCGGTTTGTTTGTTTGAAATATTTATTGCATACAGCCTCTGTTTTGGACAGACGACAAGGTACCTGGTACAGGTTTACTGAATAGCTCAGACACGAAGAAACCCTGGGGAGAAGCAAGTTACTAGAGCACCTCGATAGCTTTGAGACCGTTTCAGTACGATTACTTTACTTTACATTATGTTATTTTTTAAAATACCAATCACAATTAAAAGTATGTTTCATGGTCTTGGGTACCGTAATGAATAATGAATGCTGGCGTAAGTCCCTATAATAATGAGCCACAATTAGTTGATTTGGTTAGTCGTGAGAAACACCAATTATGGAATTTGTAGTATTTTTACGCAAGACATCGGGATTGAAAAGCAAACATCTCCACCAAACCACACCTTGCGTGCATCATTTAGCAAATTTACACACACAGTAGGCCTACTATTAATATCATTCTATGCTAAAAATGAGGTGTATGCATGTTTGAAGGGTGGAAGCCAACGTTTGGCCTGTTTAGGCCTATGATTTACCAGTCCATTGTTGCACATACGGAAATACAGATGGATTTATTTCAAAAACTGCTACTTCTTCCCACGCAAACATATATAATAGGCATACATAAATCTAGTTTTTTTATGTAATTTGACGCTCTATGTACTGCAGTCATACTAAAGCCCGTGTTCATCTTCTGATGCCTACTCGAAAATCCTCAGTCCTGATCATCTAATTGGCTGAAATGCAGAGTGCGCGCTCGCTGACTGTTTAAATACAGAAAAATCACAATTTGTGCGCTTCGATATTGAGCTCGTGAAAAAGGTACTTCAATCATCGAATCATTGAGATTTTGTCCTAAGGAGCGGTATCAATAGAGCCGGGTGAATACTTAAGTTGATGATAAGACCAGGAACTATAGCCACATCTTGTTGGTAATACATAGGCCTACACTTGAAAAATTATCAAATAACTATGTGGACGATCTGAAGGTCTTTAAGTAAACAGAATTCATTCTGACTAGGCAGCTGGAAAAGCATCGCGTTGATTATTCGGATTTAACACTGGTTTCAAAAATGTCACTGTGCTTATGGGCAACACATTAATTATTGACCTAGTAATGTTTTACACATTTAAATATTATCCATTTATGTGAATGTATTTTTGCGAACGTTGTTAGTGGTTTTGTTTGTTTCCTTTTTTTTTATTATTAGAGTATGATGTCGTCACTGGCATATACAGTACCGGTATACATTTCTGTCAACATGAAAGGACTCGTATTTTACCTATAGAAGAAAATAATATAGGCATATGTTTGCACTTTTCTCGGCCTAGGACTAAATTGGCGTTACTGTACTGTATCAGTGAGTTAGTGGTATTGCACGAATATTATAAAATATAAAAAATAAAATATTATAATTGTACGTCAGCAAAATTAAAAATATGTCATTATTATATCATTATTAACACATGATGCATTGTTAAACCAACTATACTTGGCACGTGTTTCCGTATGAAAACGTGTTAGCCCGTTTTAAAACAATATTTCTGTAAACTTGGTTTTGGCCTTATTGTGAATACCCGCTGGTACAGACTGTCCAACGTAGCCTCGAACCAAGTCGATCGCCAGCTTAGTTTAAACTAAATTTGATCCACATTTAGCTCACTATAGTTGTTATTAATTTTACTGCATTGTTCCTGCTGCCTCATGGAGCGTTTTATTATTGCCAGACTGCGACGCCTTTTTTTTCAACAGTTTTTGCATAAAGTTCCTGATGTGTTGTTTTCTCACTGTCAAGCCTGAGTAACGATAGTGACAAGAATCGATTTATTACCTTATAAACGATAATTTTGTCTTAGGCCAATCGGTATTACTAATCAAGCAAGACTCATTCTGGAGTGTCGACATTTTGTGACCAAAAATGTTGACTCTGTCGCGGATATCCATTCGGAAACCTGAATTATCTCGGTTACGGAATGTCCGTGGCAGAGTTGGTTACGAAATTTGTGCCACCCCTATGTGAAGTAAAGGCATAGTAAACGATATTTTACCAAAACTGCATTAAATCCAAATTTAATATAGCATTACGTTCGTGCTATTAGAGGGTGCAATACCGCGGTGTTTCATAATTCTTCAAATGCATTCGCTGATCTGTCATATCAATTAACAGCTTAATTTAGGCCTATCCCGAATCAGTTGTCCGTGCCTGTTTATGTCCAGTGCCTGATCCGAACTTATTCAAAAAGGTCATATAAGGTTATTGACCCATACACTTGTACACACTCATTTATGGAACCCAGGTTTATTATTAATATTCTATCGAAAGTCACGCTCTTTTAGGCAAGTAATCTTACGAGATCTTTTCTGTTTGATCCGAGTACATGGCCTTTATAAATCTCTGGGGTATTGAGTCCAGTGATCTTTATCCCGCACAAATCAAAATAAAATCACAAAAATTACTGCTTGCTAAATGAAATATCTTGAGAGTCGATAAGCGATCACATTCACATTTTTCATTATTAATCCGCAGCACTGTAGTATTTGAACCAGTACATTAACCCATATTGCGCCGCAGGACACCAAACCCAACATGTGTGGATGAATATGTTTCCCATACCATTTTTAGATGAAACCTGTGTTTCTATCGTATTGGTGTCATTCGGTAACATGTACAGGTGTATTGTTATCTGTCTCTTATACACATCTAGATGTGTATAAGAGACAGACCGTAGGAAATTTCACCCCATTTATCCTGTTCACACAATACGGTACCTATTTCACTTAAAATAGTGATCGCAATCAATTTATATAGCGCATATTGTAGACTAACCTCTATGCCCTTTACAATAACCGATATCGATAATTTAAGGTGATTGTAATACGATAGCAATAATGATGACACTAAAGATAGCAACAACGGTAACGATAGCCATCTCAAACATCAATATACACCTCGTTAGTTATTGAATGGCAACGATATTAATTTATAGTTTACTTTTGCTCAATAATAATAATACTATTGGTTTTTTTTTTTGGTTTTTTTTTTTGAAGGGCCTTGAGTTATAACCGTATAACTGAACTAAACCAAGGTGTATTCAGTGGTTTGACTAGTCTTCAAACATTGTAAGTGACAATCCAAAAAAAAAAAAACACACTGTGATTTTTTTTTCACTCTGTGTTCCCTGTAAATCCACAGTGTGGTGACAGGGTGTTCATTATGTGAAATTTACAAACACAGTGTGAACACGTAGTGAACACAGTGTCAACTATGTGAAATCTATGTGAACACACTGTGTACACACTGTGGCATTTTCCTAAGGGAAAGGGCCGGTTTTTAGCTATACTTTGACTTCTGGTATTGACTGAACAATCAAACAGATAAGCTCATATTTTTTTAATATGATCAGCTTGATAATGCGGGTAATGCTACGAGATTTATAAGTTGTGAATCAAGCACAAACAAAACGTTGTCAAAAACGCTCCATTAAGGCCAACTCAGACAGCGTCGGCCGACGCAGCCCGACCCGATTTATCGTCGGGCACAGTCTTAAGCCGTCGTGAGAAATATTAAACATGTTTAATCCCGACGCGACAACAAATCGTGTCGGGCTGCGTCGTACGACGCTGCCTGATTTGGCCTTAACTTATTAGGATAAGATACGATAAAAGGAATTGCCAGGAAATTGCACTCTCATATCCTGAAAATTTTTACCGGTACCGTAATTCATATCAATAATACAATACAACAATTATTTTTCTTAATACAATTTAAGGGGGTGCGATTGCACCTCCCACCCCCCTGCATCCGCCCCAGCGTTACATTCTGCAACAGGCATACGTTAGTTGACGAATGAGATGCTTTTATTTAGAAGAGAGTAAAATAAACAAATGGCTGAGAAACTGTAGAAAGGATACGGTATGTAATT